ACTTAAAATACGCAGTGCAAAAAATCAGAAATAGCTTATTCTGAATCAATACAAAAAATTGATTCTACCTTAAAGGATATAGTTCCAGCCAAAGCATCAAGATCTTCAAGCAGTTTCCCCATCCTAATCTCATTCCACGGATTCCTATATTGCTCCCTAAGTATATAATCATCTGAAAATTTATAAAGTATACTAGTCCTACTCTTTGATGGGCCCTTTCTGATTAATGCACTTTGTGGAGGGGCGCTTTCAGGAATATTCGATACCCTCTCGAAAATACTCGTTCTTGCTTCCCATAATGCATTTGTCACAGGTGAATGGTACATTCCAGGCCATAAACTGATAGGTTTTCTTATTGAAGATCCTGCATCAATAGGAGGGGAACTCTCAAATCCCAAAGCACAAACAACAGGGAGTGGATCTGAATTACAGGCAAAAGGATCTGACGGAGAAGCTGAAAATAATCTATGTTGAGTGACATTGAGTGGTTTTTGGGTGGTCTCAAAAGTACCAAGAAAATGGGGATGAAATGCACCATTTTTAATGCTCAAAGCGTCAAAAGACGCGATTTTTTTTGTGGGTTTTTGTTGGGTTGGTAAATCAAGATCGTGAGTGCAGTTGAAATCATTGTTTTCTGGATTTACAGAAGAATAAAGAGTCTTGGCATAAAGAAGGTTGAATCTTTGTTGGTTTTGGAATCGGGTTGATTCTGGAGTTGAAAAGCGAGAAACAAGTGATGATGATTTTTTAGAATGATTAAACGAGGGGAAAATAAATCGAATTCTTGGAGATTTCATGGATTCATGCAACGGATTCAACAAAATATGTATTGAAATTCAATGTTTAGCTTCAATAGACTGAAGCGGCTTGCAAGACGAGGTTTAATCGGAAGTCAGAATTGAGAATATTACTTGGGCCCCAATATCACTGAGGCCCCAATTTCTTGGAATATCACTCATGATTGAAAAATGACGAAATTACACAAAACCATAGTTTAGGTATTCACATTAGAAGTTTCACATTTTTAAAATCAGATATTTTTTATTTTAATTAATACTTTTATAAAATTAAATTAGTTTACATACCCGCCACCCCTAATTTCATCCCCAAACCCTAAATTAATTTTCAATCTCTATTGTGTCTCTTCCATCTCTACTCCACTCCACCTTTCTCCCCTTCTCTACTCTCCCTCCTCCCATTCCATCGTCGGTTCGGCGATTCATCGCCCCACGCAGCATATTGTCACAGTCGCTGCGAGCGTCCTGGTACCTCTTCTGCTGAGTGCGTCGCGCGGCACCGCGATCGTTGAGGAGAGATTTAATTGGTGGTTGAAGCGGCACCGCAATCGATGTGGAAAGATTGAAGAGGCGTCGTCTTAAAGCAGTTATTATCAACAGCGGCGTGGCTTAACCCAACAACGTCACTCGACACAGCTTCAATCTTCGTGTTGCAGATTGCGATGCTTTTCTGAAAATTACATATTTTGAATGTGAGGTCGTTAATGGAGAGATTTAGTTTTTGAAAATCGATGTGGTGGTGGTGGTGGTGGTTGATAAGGTGTCGATGACAATTGGTGGTTTCTATGGGTTGATGTGGGCAGAGGTGGTGAATGGTAGCGAGAGGTGAGAGATTGGAAAATATGGCAATTGCGTGAAAGAGACGGTGAGTAGTGGTCTGGTTTGATTTTAGTAGAGGCTATTGGTGGTTTGTTTGTTGATTTAGAGAGGTGATGGTGAAATTATGGTGGTCGGCGGTGTCGCAGTGAGTTAATCTGGCCAGCAGAAGACGGGACAACAGGCGGTCATTTTGGGGTTTTTTTTTGGTGGTTTGGAAATGGTGGTGATGGTGGTGCAGCCAATGGTGAGGTTGTGGTGGCTGCGACGACAATGGGGTGGAAGTGTTGGTTGGCGGGATCTAATTTGGATCTGATTTGTTGCTGAAAATGATGGTGGTGGAGGCGGTGACTGGTGGCAGTGGAGATAGAGGCGTTGTGCCGTAGCGATGGTTGTGGTGTATGTGACCAACTATTTAGATTAACTGTGACCTTAAAATTCGACAATTTGTGATTAAAAATTAACATGTGACTAATAAATTTGAAAATATGTGATTAAACAAACAATCATGCGTTGTGACTTGTGACCTGGCCTGTGAGTTGATTTGTGACTTGTGACATGAGCTGTGATTTGTGACCGTAAAAAAAAACATGTCAACCGTACAAAAAAATATAGCGAAGTTGTCGCCGGAATATTCGTCGGAATTGGAACAACTGCGGATCGGAGTAGTCCCCGGAAAAAATCGTTACCGAAAAAGTTTGCTGGAATAGTCGTCTGGAAATCACCGGAAAACTTCGCCGGACAGTCGCTGGAAAAGTTCACCGGGAAGTCACCGGAAAGTTCGCCGGAGTAGGGCGGTGATCGGAACGATTGCCGGAGCGGTAGGGGTGGTGAATGTGGGATGGGTTAATTATATTATATTAGAATTAAATGTTTAATAATAAATTAATTTAATAATTTATTATTTCATAAATAAAAATTTAAAAAAATCTAATTTTGATAATTTTAAACTTGTGTTCTTATTTTTGAAATAGACTAAACTTATACTCTTAAATATGTAATCTTCCCTTGAAAAATTGTGGGACCAATAAAATAAATAGTTAATATTAATTGTTTGATTTTAATTTTAATTTTAATCAATAACAAACATGAGTGTGAGCATGGGTGTACACGAGATATCAATTTCGATGTACAAATGGTAAAGGTCGTTAAGAAAACTCGTAACTTTTTATTAAAAAGTTGATTAATCAGAGAAAAAATTACTTTTTTAAAACATATTTTTAATTATATATTTTTTTAATAAAATAATTTTATACCTAAATTTTTTGTTACTTTTTAGCACACACTCTCCAAAAAAATCATTATTTTAAAATCTATTAACCCAAAAATATGGGGCTCAACCTTAAATTTGTCAAATTTTATTTTTTTAATTATAAGTTTTATTTTACTAATGACTTATTTATTTTGTAATCACACATTGCATAAAACTCATCGATTTTATTTGTTCATCACATTTCAATTTTCAAAATGCATAACAATTTCCTCTCATATTCAATCTTATTTGAATTTTCGAAACCACATTATCTGTTAATTGTTTTTTTCCACAAGATATCTAATCTTGCGAATTTGCAAAGACTCGATGAATCTACTGAAACAGCTGCCAACCCGGTTCGATTACTTTTAAATAAGTAATTTTTTTACTTAAAAAATAACAATAAATAATATGTTTAAAAAAAAAAGAAAAAGAAAAAAAACTTTGCCAAATACGCACGTGAACGTATTTCTTGTGGATCTTATCCCATTCTCTCGATGTTCTTTAGTGTGAGTTGATAGTTCGATTACGTACATTCATGATAACCTTTTTATTGATTGATTTAGTTCGATCTATTTTCTTGAATTTCTATGCTAATATATATATAGACACACACACACACAAAGAAACTTCTATCAAGGGGAAGGCTGGATAGTTAGAGCTAAGCAAGATGATGATATAAAGAAAATGAACGCAATTTTCAGTAAGATCTATTTAAATATTCGATAATCAAGAAGAGCCTTTTAAACGAAAAAAAAAATGTGAAATAGACATTTTCCACTTGGGTTATTACAAGAGGACTATTATGAAAATTTCACCTAAATAAGACGGAAAATAAAAATAAAAACTCATTCAACATCATAGAAAATTAGCCAGTGAATTGTCCAAAAGAGTACAACAAAGTTTGCATCATAGATCATACTAAGTTTTTTTTTAACAAACCATTTCTACAGTTTTTTTTTTCGATTTTTCTTTCTAAGGGCATGTATGTTTCACATTATTTTAGGCTGAAAATGAATAATCTGACCCCTTTTTTCAACAAGTTGGGACCTACCATGACACAAGATGGCCAAAAAATGCGGCTCATCCACTATGCAACGGTAAGAATTTTTCTACAAATGGGAAACAAACATGGGCTAATATTTACGTCTGAATAAGGCCAACTAAAATATAGGCCGTACTCTGATATGACGACTAACATCTGCAATCTGGTCTTCAAAAACTCGACCGCTGAGATGAGAACAGTCGTATGGCAATTTTTGCCGTTTGAACTTTATTCACCAAAAAATTCCACTTCACTTCTTCTTTTTTGCTTTGTTGCCGCATTTTCTCCTTGAAATGCCTACAATCCAAAGCATAAATAACTCAAACTCGACACATCCAAATCTAATAATTGAACTGGAATGATAGCTGGAGTCGAGACAAGGCAATACAACCAAGAAAATATAGACATTTCCCACGAATTTGGCAATATTTTCACATTTTTTACCTGAGATAGCCACTTGAAATCCTACATAAATTTCAGGCATTTATACCAGATTTCCCGCATGCACTACAACCACTCCTAGACAGGTCGATGCGTAAACCACTTGACCAGATGTATATCTGCATACTATTTGGCTTAAATTTTTATTTTCTTTTTTGTGCTTAACAGATGTCCAATTAAGGCGCATTTCGTTCAGCATTCAGCATTCTGTAAAGTTCAATGTGAGCATACGCACCTACAAAGAGGGACCTTGCAGTAGTTGGGCTCATTGCACGTGCGGGAATGTAGTTCAAGAAGCTGCCACATGCGCTTACAATGGACACATCCGCCTGGAACTCTTGTACTACAACTTGAGAAATGACGAATTAAAATCTCAAGCCCGTTGCAAGCCGGGAAACTGCACACCACCTGGCTTCCTTTCAGCACTTTATCACGACGCCCAATTGTCCTGCATCCATCCTTGCAAATATGAAGCAGAGCCTCCATGGCCTCGTGTAGTTGCAGATATAACCTTTTCTCTTCAATTTTCTTCAATCGATCTTGTTTTCTCTAAGGAAAAAAATGTAAAGTAAGATACTTTTTACCAGTATTGGGCAAAACGAAAATGGTAAAAGCTTCACCAATTTCTTATTTTGAGTAAATGCATGCCATGGTTCTAGAAAATTTTGGGGAATAACCTTGTTTATTTAGGACAATGGGGTTCAATAATTTCAGCCCCTGTTTGACTACCATTATTTTCAAACTTTTTTTTTTATACACTCATTTTCAACCACACATTTATACAATAAATTATTTTGCACGTAAATCTAAAACTTTTCCTTACTTTTTAATCACACAATCTCCTAAAAACCACTATTCAAAATTCTATTTTCCCCATATATGGTTGTCAAACAGGGGCTCAATATTTTCAACATTGACCAATAACTCAACATAAATATTTTTTTTATTTTAAAAGTTAGTCAGTTATTTACAAGTAAATATATTTGGCAGTGAACTTTTTAAGCTTTGCAAACATGCAACACTAGGAAGGGTACCAAAAAATCCAGTGGACATTACACAGAAAAAATCTCAAGCAGTATAACATATAGAACAAAAGAATAAATGCATACAACTCAATTTGATTCGACGATTCGACCAAGCAGTCAAATGGTGAAATAGGCAACCGGTAACTTACTGAATCTGCTTCAACGAGTGACTCTAAAATTTGCTGTTCAAGAGCAGGGTTTGCACGCTTCATTACTTTCCATCCTTCAGTCAATGATATGCATTTGAAGTCCCTCACTACCATACGCATGCAAACCAAGACGAGTCGTGGTGCATCACATTTGGTAGCTAATTGCAGCACATCTACAACATTTTCTTTGGTCAGCCAACCCCGTTCCAAAAGTTGTGCACACTCTCTTTTAAGAGATGGAACCACATAGGAATGTGATAAAACCAACAAATGAAGAACAAATTTCTTCATTTCAACTTCTTCATAGCTGCATCAGAAAACCGCATGATCACAATTTCAGAGTACTGAACAGCAATAGGCGAAGAAAATATTGCTACACAATGACCGATACTACAAAGAGAAGTCTCTGGGGTAATTAGGTAGCAGAAACAACAGAACAGGCAAAATGCAATGAGATTTTGAAATCATTCATCTCATTATGGGAGCACAAAGCAATTTTCAATTGTTTTAAAAAAGATGATGCATAGATTTTTGAAGACTAAATTCAAGTAAAAAAAGTTGTTCCCTCTCTAATGGTTTAAGCTTTTAAATGAGATGGTCTAACATGATATCACGGCAGTCAAAAGACCCGAGTTCAAGTCTTTCTCCACCTATTTATAAATATTGTCCAAGTGTCATGCCTTCAATAAAATAAATTTGGATTACACGTGAAGGGCATGTTGAAGACTATATTCAAATAATAAATATGTTTACTAGAAGCTTTCAAAAAGAGATGGCTCAACACTAGATTCGTCAGACACATAACCTTCCTAAATATGCAAATAAGGCAACTAACTTTTAAGAATACATGCTAATGGTTAACACTCCTATATTATCTTTGCTAACGCAAAGTAATGTATCCAGAGACTGTTCAGACTGGTAAGGTGAGTTTGCATTTCGAGTAACAGGGTGATAGATTATGTCATGCATAAAACTATTTCTAAGAATGTTCTTTTTTGTTATTCATAAAGTAAAACAATACAGGCTTGCGAGAAAAAATAAGAACTTGAAAGGAAGTATTCCAGCGTACCATGATGAATAAAGGAAACGTATAAAAGTGTGGAGAGCATCATAAGGTACCCCAGGAATCCTTATACGTCTGATGCCATTCATAACTTTTGATTGCTGCAGGAAATTCCCTAGCACTGATGATGCATTACTCTAAGAAAAAAGGGAAAAATAATCATCATAATCAGCAAAACAAATTCCAAAGAGAGACTGGAATGATGGATTTTTTCCCATGATTAATATAGAGCTCTAACAGCTACATGTTACTCTTCTGGCTTGTTTGCTAGGAAGGATTACATACAGTATCAATAAAGATTTTATATTTTTAAAATCTTGTTTATTATAGAGTTTATTCTTGTTTAGTATTAATAAGTCGATAAAAACAGAGATCAGGACATGGAACTGGGCCATGCTTCATATTGAATATTCGTCAACAAAATCCCATAAAAATATATTAAATTAGAGAAAAAACTAACAACCAAACAAATAGTGGTACATAAGCAAGTATGCCATACTGAAAATGAGAAATGGGTAAACTACAGGAAATAGTTAGTTACCAAAATGTTGTTATGAGCTGCAATAATCAACCCATCCACAGTAATGATATGTACATCGGCTCCATATCCCTGGAAGAAAATTTTGTCCAATGCATCTTTTGTATCTTTTGGAACAAAACAAGAATCTGTAAGCCCTCTATGACTTTTCATTTTTGGACGAATTTTAGTAGGTGGCCAAGGAGGTATAGGAATGTTACGACTGTAATATACTGAACAGTTTTCGTCCTTATAAAAATCTAAAGTATCAGTTGAATTCCCTTCCTCTAGGCGTATATTGAAAGATCGATCAGAGGATCTAACGATTGAGGATGACCAGGAAATGTCAAGACATGGTGAAGCCATCAATCACAAAAATGTTTAATAATAACCTGCATATGACTACAAAAGAATAAAACTTGTCAGCTTTTATCCAAGAATATAATGCAAACTTCATGAAAATAATACACTGCAAACAGGAAAGCAAAAGCAAAACAAGCCAGTTGATAAATTGTCAAAGGAAATCTACGAAGCTGCATTAGATAGGATAGGGAGTTCCATTGACACTCGAGAAGGTGGCAGATGGATAAGACTAAGAATTATTCCATTTGAAGTCAGATTAGAAACTACATTTAAAATTTCAGTGTACCTTCTGACTTCTGTCCTCCATCCCCTCCGCCCAAACACCGAGAAAAGAAAAACATGAAAAAGAAAAAGCTTGAAAACAAAAATTGGCTAGTGCATATTTAACTGTGCCAGTTTTCTTCTAATTTAGAAATAACTCTGAATAACATTCAATGCATATGCTCAAAGCCAAGAAATCTAAATCTTTTTGCATAGATCGAGGCCCATAACTCCATTCTTGAGTCTTAACAAATTTCACTCGTTAAAATAAGAAAAATCAATTTGCTCTTAACTACAATAAACAAAATTTGTACGAAAGAGTATGCTATTTGGTGATGATCACAGGTGGCAGCGAACCCCTTAATTTATTGTCTAGAGGAGTTGTGATGCATTTTAAAATATTGGATAATGAATCAAAGCGCGCTGATCACCACCAGAGAGGACGCAGGGGGTGGCCTGGGGGTTACGTGACCCCCCAACTTTGCTCCCTTTTTTTTTCACGATTAAATTTTCTATATTTTTGTTTCAATTGTCGAAATCATTATGGGATGTGAAACGAAACCGAAATATTGCATTTTTAATACAATTACAAAGTGCTCACAGTCNGAAAGGCGTCTAACTCGCATTTTTTTAAAAAAATTCAATTATTTCATTAATATTTATTATTTTTGCAATACAAATTTCTCAATGTAATTTTATCATTTTATTAAGAAATTTTATATAGAATATGATATAAAATTTTTTCGAAATTTTACGTCCAAAAAAGTCATATCCCATGTAAATTTTCGAATACAAAATTACATGGGGTATTATTTTTTTGGACGTAAATTTTCGATTGTAAAATTTCTCTCAACTTCTTTGCAAGTTGTGCCTCCTAACTTTAAACTTCTGCATCCGCCCGCGATCACCATCTATCACCACTAATGATGAATGATATCTTACTGTACTTTAGCTACAAATAAAAAACTACGTATAGATACAATCAAAATGAGTAGAAATCTTTAATCGGATTTCAATTTTTACGAGCCCTCTCCAAGGGGAGTCCAACACGTATGGTGCATACAATAGTAAACTGCCAACAGAACAATCTAATGATTTACAATCAAATTGAACATGAAAACTCCAACATAGAACACACAATTCACGATTAAATCATATAAAGTACAGTGGTAGATGGTAAAATCTAGTACCCATTACTGTATGAACCATAATCAATAACACGACCACAATTTTTTAAAAGAAGTCTGCAAATCTCCTAAAAATAAATTTTGCGATTAAAGTTCTACTGAATTTAGCAGGAAATGTAAAGCCTCCAAAATAAAGTTCCAAAAATAGACCTAAAAAGAAACTGAAACTACTCCATGTTTGGTAAGAAACTTAGTAGAAGAGAAAAACCCATTCTGAAGCTTACCTGAGGATCAACTCTATACAAACAGATTCTTGAAAACCAAAGAAAAAGAATGGTTTTCCTTGGGGAGAGAGAGGACGGTGGAATGAGGTTTGTGTGTGTGGACGGAGTAAAAATCTGGTAATTGGTTGGACCATTTATTCTTGCGTGTGCTTTTTCATAAGCGATCACTAAACTTTCAGAAAAATCTCAATTTCACCACTCAATCTTAATTTATTACATTTGGATAATTCAACTTCAGTTTAGTTTGACTATGTCATTGAATTTTAATTTAGTTTCAAATTGATGATAATTGCTCGATTAAAAGTCATAATGAATCTTTTTCTACGTTGTCTATATGTGATGTGTCGATTACCAATTACCATTATGTTACGTCATAATAGTGTTAAAAAACGTGTTTCAAAATGATTATTCTAGTGGTACATCACCACTTACACAAGGGTGTCCATAATAGACACCGGCACCTCCTCATTGGAGGGAGTGCCGATCCCACCAACCCTCCTTCCAATGAGAAGGCGTCGGGTGTCCATTATGGACACCCTGATGTAAGAGGTGATGTACCTCTAGCATCTCCCATTTCAAAATTGCTATTAAACTTGGATAGTGATAGATGTACATCAAAGTGTACAGAAGGGTGTCCATCGGCAACTTCCTATTGGAGGAAGTGACTGTGGGATCGACACTCCCTCCAATGAAATGATGCCGGTGTCCATTATATACACCCCTATGTACTTTTTGATATACAAGAAGCATGGTCCATTAAACTTTATATTTTGTTTCACACTGATTATTGAATTAGTCTCCCCTTAAATAATTAATGTAAATATGATGTATCAAATGACTATACATTTTGTCACTGTGGAGAAAGGGATTCGTATAAAAACCTCTTTCGATTGTTGCTAATCTATGTAGACAATCTTTGAGTTAGCAAAGAAACTAACATTGTAACCAAAGAGAAACAAAATTTAAGATGACTAATGTGGAACAAATTGAAATTGAGTGACCATTGAAATGCATAATCTTCATCAATTTTTCAATTAATCATGTCATCAATTATTATTAAAATCTACCAAAAAAATAGTTTTTAGTTAAACCAAACAGGGGCTTAATGGATTTTGTGACAACCATTTTTTAAATTTTCAAATAAATTTATTTAATTGTTAACTACCACAAAATGGTATGTTTGATGTATATTTTTCGAAAATATATTTTGTGAAAATGATATATTTTTAAAGAATATGTAGTTAAAATTATGAAAAAGTTATGCGTCCACATGCAAAATTATTTTATTCGAAAATACGTCGTTGAAAAATAAATAAATAAAGAATCTATACCAAGCAGGCTAGATCTCATTTTCAATAAATTTGAGGTCACCTACATTAGTTTTATCATTATATTTTATTGATTAATGCGTTTATCAATCGATTCAAATAAAACTAGATTCTTTATAATCGTGTTAGAATATTTTATTTTTAGTTGACCTTTATAATTTATGTAATGAGATAGAGCCATTGTTTGATGGAATTTATTTAAATTTTTTTCTCCTATATTCATTTTTAATCACACATTTCACAAAATAAAATATTTTACACGTGAAGTTAATTTTTTTTTTTTTTACATTTTAACTATATATTCTTCAAAAATTCACTATATAAAACTTCGTTCTTGTGAAATAATGATCATCAGACATGACTGAATCACTTTTATACATAAGAGTTCCTAAAGTTCACATAAGACACAATCCAACCACTTTAATCATCATTCAATTGTATTAATGGTTAAAAAAGTGGGACCCACATGTTGACATAACCCGGTAGGTATTTTTATTGGAAAATGCCATTTGAACACATCGGTTTGCACTAATCTTGAACAGATCCTCTCACACCTCATTAAAAAAAACCCCCCCAAATGTTAATAAACTCACCCACTCCAAGACCCATTGGCTTGCACAAATCTTGTACCGATCTGTGCAAGCAGCACGGTCCATTTTTATCATTATATTTTGTTGATTGTTCGTTTATTAACCTATTCCAAGAAATTAATTTTTTTTTTTACAATCACGATAGAATATTTTAACTTTAACTTACCTTTTCCTTTTCTCATTTTTTAATTGAGAGTGAATCGTCTTTATACACGAGAGTTTCTAAAGTCCAAACAAGACACGATCCAACCACTTAAATCGTACTTCAATTGTGCTAATTGTTAAAAGTGGGACCCACACGTGGGCATAGCTATCACTATATGTTGTCGATTGTCTGTTTATTAACCAATTCAAAGAAATTAGTTTATTTACAATCACGAATCTTTGTAATGAGATCGAATCGCATTTATACACGAGAGTTTCTAGAGTCCGACAAGACAAGATTCAATCAACATTTATTGTATTAATTGTTAAAAAGTGGGACCCACATGTGAACATAGGCCGGTGTGTAAACCAATCGATTGGGCGGTTGATAGAAACGTGGGGTGATGCTAAAAGGCAAGAAAGGACTACCATTATAGACGAGGGAGAATATAAAGTGAAGGATGGCTCATTGTGAGATGGTGGTTCACATATATACTTTCGAAAAGCATGAATTTTCATCAATTTAAAGAAAAAAGATTTATCTAAAAGTTGTTTTATTTAAAAAAGAAAAGGTGCCTCTACTTGTTTTATGATTACGTTGTGACTTGTAAAAAGTTGAATATTATTATTTTTGCAAAAGCTTACTTTGATTTCCAAAGCTTTAGGTTGCAACAAATTTTCTTTAATCTTTTTCTTTTCGTTTTTCAAGCAAAAAATAAGTTAATTTCATTTTTTTCTCGAGAAATGAGCAAGGGACATGTATGGGTGGGCATTTAGCCTAAAAACCCGACTAAATCGACCGATTCAATCCAACCTAGCCGGATTAAGTTCCTTTTTTGGGTCTTTTTATTAAATCGGGTTAGATCCCTTTTTTGTGAGAAATGGTTGGTTCGAGTTATAGGTACACTACAAAATCCAACTTCACCCTGTAATGACTACTATTATAAATGTGATTTACAGTTAGGACATCTCTACTATTTTATTTATCATTTTATGAAGTATTAATTAGTGAAGTCCGGAATAAACTTGTAACGACCCGATCCTCAGGCTCAGCCATTCTCATAAGGAATCTTCCCTCTTTCATGACTTTCTATCGTGTTCTCAAGATTTTTATATATGAGAGATTTAAATTGAATCATAATACTTATTAGATAAGTTGTGCAATTGATACCATAATTCAATTTAAGTCTCTCATATGTAGAGATTTTTGGTTCGAATTCTAGAAGACGCGATATAAATTCGTGAGGGATAAGAGGTGTTCAAACTCTCCTAGAACAAACAGTACGAAGTTAATGAATTTAGCACAGAGGCCATATTGTTACAAAACTCTTGTGATGTACTATTCACGAAGGGTTGTCTCATGACTAATGAGAAGTGTCTCTAACCGTATGCTAACAGAACACATATATCATGGTCCGGATAGCACATATTGTACTTCTTTAATAAAAAGAGAATAATCAATATTACTTACTAGAGTTTACGTCGAGTAAGTATATAGATGCTTGTGAGTTGAACAATTTCATTGGAGGCCTAATGTAGATATCCACACATATGATTATCTTAGTGTTAGTTGACTATCTATACATAACGGTTGTGAAATTGCTCCTTAGACTTGATATCATTATGACATCTCATGTGTAGATTGTCATTCTTTGATCATGTTGGATTTGGCTCTTTTAGGTTTGCTAATAAAACATCAAACGAATATGAGGTGAATAACATGAAAATTGATGAATGATCAAAAAGGGATTTATCACTCTTAGGCAAGCCCACAAGCTGAAACATCAATCGAAACGGTCACATTTTTTAAAAAGTGACCGTTTCGATCGCTTTTTTTTAACTTTAGTAACCGTTGCAAACGATCACTGAACTCTCAAAGTGGCCGTTTTGGCCACTTTTTTTTTTTACTCTATAAATGCCACAACCTATTTCCAATTTTTTTCACACAACATTCCAACAATTCTCACTCTCTTCTACATTTTCGTTTTTACCTTCAACTTCAATTATTCAATATCATTTATCA